CAAATGTCAATAGTGGTTTTGCTTGTAAAGGGACAGATAGTAAATGCTTAGGCTTTGTGGGCCATTCTGTCTCTGTTGTAATTCTCAGCTTTGGCATTATAGGCCTAGACAGTATGTAAACAAATGACTGTTCCAATAAAACTTTATTTACAAAACAGGGCTAGATTTGGCTCTGAGCCAATCCCCAGCGCCCAACGTGGGAAAGTCTTCATATGCTTTTAGACTAACACCAGACCCCACATCATTTGACCCCACCCTGCACACCCAGGACCCTGTTGCCCATTTTTCTAAATCCTCAAAAGCCCTGTGGTCTTAAAATGCTCCCCTGCCTTTGCCCATGCTGGGTGCTCCCTCCATTTATATCCCTCTGTTTCCCTCTTGATTCCCTGTTTTGCCTTGAGTTAGATCCTCCTTAAGCCACAACATGCACAGATCCCTTGGCTGACTTCACATCCCAGAATTCGTTGCTTCTGCCTATAGTGTAGTCCTTACCATGGAGCTATTTCTCAGCAGGATGCTGACAGGGTCATCGACCCCATTTCACTTAGCAACCAACTGAGAGCTTAGTACAGTGAAGGGCAGCCAAAAAGAAAACAGAAAGTCATTAACTTGATCCACCAATGTGATTAGTGAGTTTCTGAATCATGAGAGAAGTATTCAGGAAGTCTAGATGAAAACCCCTGAAAGTCCAAATAGCCAGCCAGGGCTATGCTGCTGAGTTGTGGGGGTGAGGGGAGGCAGTTTGCCAGGAACATAGCCAGGTGAAACTGCGCAGACAACGAGTTACCTCCTTCAGGATCCTAGAGTCCTTGGACAGTAGCTGCCTGGCCCAGAGGGAGTGAGCCAGAGAGGCAGTGTCTCAGTTAGGAGCATTAGGCCTAGGGCAAGGATGAAAGCTTGTTGGAGGGAGATCGGAGAAAGGTCGGCCTGCCTGTATGATTAATGGGGCAGGAGGAACTGACTCATGAGGAAAGATTAAATTGCCTTGAGGAGATGGGGTACAGGACCAATAGAGGCAGATGATAGCAGACTCAAGTATGTGGGATGAATAAACACCCTGGAGGGGAGCAAGGAGACTCATTAGGGAGGTAAATAAGGGGTCCAGCCAGAGGATAGGAGGATGCTCACAGAGGGCACAGGAAACCATCAGGAAACACAAGAGGTGGCAGGTGGATAAGACAACTCTGAACTGTATGAAGGAGAAACACTATGGGGAGTTTGTTGTGGGTGATTACTTTAGAACTCTCATATTCTCATCCTTCAGGGCCTTGTACTTTGCCATGATCTTGGCCTTAACCTAAAGAGATGGCATTCAAATTACTCAGTACCACGGAGGGCAGCTGGGAAACTATGAAGCAGAAGACAGAACTCTTCTTGCTCCTCATAGATACCTGTGGCCAGCTCTAACAGCAATTTGAGGCCGTCTTCTCTGAAGTCAGTTGCTGTCCACTCAGCCTGACTGGGAAAACCATAAGTGTTTGTCTCAAGCCTTTCTGAGTAAAGGATACAGCCATTGGCTCTTATGCACCTGAGCAAATCCCAGCTGCCTGTTAGTATGCACCTGGCTTTAGCCTTGTAGACACTTTGAAAGACAGGTTTTATTTGAAATGCTACAAATGTCACCCAGACTCTAAGATCAGTATCCTTCAGGTATTCTCTGATATTTGCTTCAAGGTCAGGATGGAAAACTCAACTGGTAATCTCACCAGGTACCCAACACCAAACATTGTAGAGCCAAGGTATTAAAGACTCCAGACAGATAATCTTTGTTTGTATGTATATGTGTGTGTATGTAGGTATATATGTATATATATATATGTACATATATATATATATATACATATCACCTTTATAAAAACTGTCTCCACCTACATATACCTCCAGAAAGTCTCAGCTACATGAACTTTGGCAGGGAGAAGATACCCTGGCACCAGTGCTTTTCCCTTAGAGTTCCTCAGAGTTCCTTAGAGTTCCATTCTGTTGGGAACCATGTGTGAACAATTATTATTACTCAGGAGTCTTCATCTTTCTTTGTAATTCTAACTATACTGTATCACCTGTGAGATTTTCTTTTAACTACTTGTATTTTCTCTTGGTACTGTTACTATTTAGTTTGAAGTTACCATTTGTGTTGAAGGAAAGATAAATAGCACACAAGCTATGAGCAGACAATAATGGCAAACCCTGAAATAGCACACCAGGCCAGTGTGCAGATCTGCACCAGGGTACATGCTATCTACATACACACACACACATACATGCACACATACACACACACATATACACGTGTGCACACCACACACACACACATACATGCACACATACACACACATGCACGTGCACACACCACACACACACACACACACACACACACACACACACACCCCTCCACCACCATCACTAGTTCACTCCTGTAAAGTATGATTACCATCTGATGATATTTAGGCCCCATCATTTTGCTTTCTGAGTTACTCTGACATGGCTTTCTGGGGAATGGGTTGTGTGACAGGCCTGTTCATGTGCTAGTTATGAGGTCCCCCAAAATATCATTGCCTAAAGTTTCGGTAGCTATCACTGCAGCCAGCCTGTACTGTTGCATTAGAAAGTTAGAAAGACTTCCACAGATACACAGAGCTGTATATTCTGTCCTGGGGAAAGAAGTACATTGGGATGTGGTCACTAGGGGGCCAGTGAAGCCAAGGCACATCAGAAAAAAGTGACTCCCTTGCAAATACCAGACTCATGATGGCTGCCTTTCAGATGCTGTAACATATCAAAACAAACAAAGAAACAAAAACGCCATGAGGAATATATTGAATTCCGAAAGAAATAGCTGAGAAAGGAACTGAAGAGATATTTAGATTTTCGATATTTTTAAGACCAGTGTCAGTTTGTGCTGGTACTACAAACAGATGTAATTTGGAAAAGCACACTGAAGTGAAGAACAGCCACATTGAGTTCAGTTTGTGACTGAGTTCGGAGTGCGGGGACCCTTGAGATTCTCTTAGCTGCAAGAATAATGGTCAGAGTTGTAAGTCCATAGGTGTATGGCTCACTGTGAGTTCTCTTCTGGAATGCTTATATCAGATCTGCCATGACAGATAATCTCCAACGAAATCACTATATGAGGAATCTCTGATGCTTTGCTTTATTTATAATCTGTCCCAGCTGTAGGCATCCAGATGAAACTTGAATACTTCCAGAGGAAGTTCTGGACTGCCAGCAGACAGGTAAGTTCTAGTGGGCATCTTGGAGCCTTAGCTGCACTGTTGTTACCCAGGTGTCTCCTCAGATTACCACTCATGTCACAGGAAAACTTGGGCTGTCAGCATGCTAGATACCACATGTTAGGCAAAGGAGGGGATTATGAGATCAAGCGAGTGACTTTATAAAAGGAGTTTCTCTCTTAATATCGGAGCCTTTTACTATTTCAGGGAGATTTTATTCTAATTACATTGTGATGTCCAACTAGTTATTTGTGCTTCTCCTTATAGCCATCATGTGACCTGCTTTGTCAAAGCATGCATCTGCCTTTCTAGCCAAAGGACTTCGAGGGGCTATTGCACCTTGGAAAATCCAGGGCATTCTCCTTTGCTGTGCTCTATGAACTAAGACATTCCATGGGTGTCTGTCCAGTATTCAAGAGAAATGGTAGCCACTAAGTTGCTTCTATCTGCCCAGTTCTAAATGTTAGAAGTATATTTCCAGGGAAAATGAAATCTGCACACAAAAGGCAAAGGAGCAATACCACATTTAATATGTACTCTTCATAATATGGAATAAACCTAGAGACCCATCCAAGGATGGATACATAAGGAGCTTATCATTTCTTAAATTATGATATGATAGAAAACTACAAACTAAGAACATAAACAAGAGTTTCCTTTTAAAGTCATTGAGAAATAGCTTTAAATTAAATAATGACATAATTATATCTTTTGTAACAAAAGATCTGAGATCTTTAAGCGATATCATCAGTGTTGAATGACAACATAAATTAAGACAGATGGAAAAGAGCCAGCCCTCCCCACATTGTGTCTTTTATACTATGATTCTGAATTCATACTGTCTCTAGAGAGCACAGCCAAGTCTCATATCGACATGTTCCCTTTGGATGAAACCTGGACTTCACAGTCCGGGGCCCCCATAGATAAGCAGCAGCTGCAGCAAATGTTAGGATGACCCAGTAACATGGTTCCTTGCTTCCTCCCCCCACAGTGTGCCTCGCTGGATGGCAAATGCTCCATAAGCTGCGATGATGAGGTAAGGTGGTCTCTTGGTCATGTTTTTTGGCCAAAGGGAAGTGCTAGACAGTGCATTTTGACAGAAGGAATGCTGCTGTAAATAGAGCCAGGTCTGACACATCACTCTGGGCCAGCCTCCAGGGGAGGGGGGGGTAGGGAGCATTTACTATGTCCCCTATCCTCCACCCCCAGTGACATAGATTTGTTCTCAGAGCCAGGGAAACATGCTTTAGATATTCCCTGGCCTGTAGTCCTGGAATGTTAGCATTTTATTTGTAGGAAGTAATTGACATTGTTCCCATTTCAAGACCACATTAGAATTATCTCTATTGTCATCCTCAGAACACTAGGTGAACTAGGTGGAACTAGTGACTCTATTCACAGGTAAGAAAAGCAAAGATGAAACAGGCCAAAGTAGTGTATAGCTGTAATCTCAGAACCCATCCAAGAGGTGGTAGCAGGAGGCGCATCCTAAGTTCAAGGCCAGTCTGGTCTACATAGAGACCTCCTGGCCAGCCAGGACCATTTAGTGAGACTCTGGCAGAAAGAAAGAGCTAGGCATAGGGATTAAAGGGATTGGAAAGAAAGAAAAGAAAATTGAGGATGAAATGAATGATTTGGTTCATTTCGTGTAATTAGCAAGCTACAAATCTGGAATTAAAAACTCTGAAACTCACAGCTTTTCATTCAAATATACCTATTTCTACCTAAGATTCCTCTATCTTTCCCCCCTTTTCTTCTCTCTCTTTGGAGGGAGAAATTTGAATCACTTGGGTCAGCAATGGAAGAAGTTAATGTGTCACTGTCAGAGCCTGCCCATTTGACCAGATCACGGTGGCCATTCTGCTTCTGCTTAGGTTGCCGCTACATTTCTCTGCTTCAGCTAAACATCAGTCAATCCATCAACTAAACTTTGTAATCAGATATTTACAATCCTCCTGGTTACAACAAGGATTTCAGAAGCATTTACCAAACATTATTTCAATGCAGAAAGCATAGGTTAGGAATAGAGATTTTAAAAGTAGACAAATGGAAAATAAGAACATAAATATAAAAGGGGTCCAGGACAGAGTTAGAACAAAATTTTAAAAAAGTTTGGTTTCTAGGTTTCCAGTGATCTAGCCAGCTTAAAAGAGAAATTTTTATCACCAAGGTAACAAAGAAGACATGATTGGCATTAAGGGCAGAGAGACCATGCTCACCTCCCATTTATGTATGACCCAGCAGTATAGCCACTTTTTGCCCACTTACCTGTCCATCAACTCTATCACTATGGACAATACCCGTAGTTTGCAAAGACAGAGGGAGGCTAATGGCTGTCCTGTGAGAGGTAAATATCTTCATGATAAATGTAACTATATGTTCCTTCCAAAGAGACAGAGGTTGGTGTGGGCTATGAATCACTAAGACTTTTTAAGTTTTGACAGGAATATCTTCTGGCATATGAAAGATGCTGTGAATGGTGGCAGAGCCGAATAGGGCTATATCCAAGCAACTGGATACCTCCATATCTAGAAACCCCAGGCTGTTACATCCATAGGCCAGAGAATTGTTTAATAGCTAGTGTGAGAAAGGATATAGATGAACCCTACCAGACATGATATTTCAGAGTTACCTTTTACAAACAATGATTTTTCTAAAAAAAAAAAATTTCTCCCCTTTCTGTCTCCCTGTCTGTGTGTGTGTGTGTGTGTGTGTGTGTGTGTGTGTGTGTGTGTGTCTGCGGGCGCGCGCGCGCACACACACACACACACATGCATGTATATGCACAAGGACTCTGGTCAATGCTAGAACTCATCTTGGCTTGGTCTTCTACTTTATTCACTGAGGCATGGTCTCTCAAACAAACTTAGGGCTCACTGATATGGGTAGTCTCCCAAGCCAGCTAGCTCTTCAGATCCCTCTTACCCCCAATAGCCTCTGCCCTCTGAGGCTGGATTTATATAAGAGCTTACATGCCTACCCAGCATTTACTTGGGTTCTGGGGAATCTGAGCCCCCTCCTCATACATGTAAAGCAAGCACTTTAACCACTGTATCTTCTCCACAGCCCAAAATTTGGTGTGTTGATTTGATATTTGGTCTATAATGAGAAGGCACAGTAAGCAATGTAGAAGGCTAGGGCATTTTGTTTCACAGTGACACACTGGGGATATGGTTGGGAGACCTGGAGAAAAGGTCCTGAGGAATCCAAGCCTCACCCTCAGATACAAGATCCCTCTCTCTCCTCTCTCTCCTCTCTCTCCTCTCTCTCCTCTTTCTCTCTCTCTCTCTCTCTCTCTCTCTCAGACACACACACACACACACACACACACACACACCCCAAAACTGCAATGCTGTACCACAGAGCACTGAGCTCTTAAGTGAATTCCATCAGTCAAAACAAACAGAAGGTATCTCCCAAAACAAACATGGGGAAGCCCCGCCCCCGCTCTGGAACCTGTTAGTAACTGTTTGGTGCTCCTCTTCCTGAGAAACTGTAGCACTCTCTGTCACATGTAGCTGCTCAGAATAGGACACATGGTGGAACCAGTCTTCACTGATGGGTGGATAGTATACATTGTTTAAGGTCTTGCTGGCCACCAGCCAAGGTGCTCAGCTTTCTTTCACAAGGGCATTCCATCCTACAGTGTCCTACAGGGGCCTTCTCACGCCCCATCCAATGGCAGTAGTTGCCTTTCCACTCCCTACAACACCCAGGCTGATAGCAACAATCAGAGCCTCTAGTGGCAAAGTTCCTATCTCAGCCCCAGGCTTGATCGTGCCTTCCAGTGAACTCTACAATTGGAGTGCTTTCTCATTCCCGTCGCCTCTTTCCTTCCAGCCTGCAGCTTCTGAGTTCACACCAGGATTTTGGTGTGAAATCCATGTGTGTGCCTCAGTCAACTGGAATCAAGTGCTTTGAGCAATGCTGAATAAACAAATCATTGTAGAAAGACTAAAATATACTAATCAATAAACCTTCTTTCTGCCTTTTTCCTATTTCCACATTTTAAGACCAACCCCCTCCTGCAATGTCCGAACTTGAAGCTCTTGATATCTCCAAGCCTTCACCCTGTTAGTAAACACTTAGGGACATGGTGACTTGCATATAACTTTAAAGATACCAGGGCATCTTTTAGGGGGAGTGACATGAAGGGATTAAGCTAGGATATATAAAGGCGATTAAATCATATTTATCATAGATGGCAAAAATGGAGGGTTTCATCCCAGCTGTTCTCATCACCTAGTGCTGGACACTCTCATTCTAAGTGTGGACTCCAGGCTATGGCACCCCTTGGCCATAATTTAACTCGTGGATTGTTTAGAAAGCTTGTCTGGGGAGTGCTACAGTCACTAAAATTGACTTTCAGTATTTACAGGTAGATAACATAGCAGTGCCTGTCTTCAAAACATAATGGTACCTGCCAGATCCAGTGGCCTGGCTCTGTATCAATGAGTGATGCCACTGAGTGACTCAGCATTCTCTTCTGCTTCTGGCCTATGGCATCCTTGGTGATTTGTCAGCCCCACTATTGGCAGTACTTACTTCTAGCCTAATGAGGTGACTGAGTCTTTTTATATTCAGCAGAAGCTTGAAACTCAAACTTGATCATAAGTCCAACAAGGTGTGTCCTCTGCTGCCAGCTCCTATCCTGGTATCCTCACAGAACAGGGGAAAGGTACACCAAAAAATGGTAACAAGATACATGGTCCAAGGAGGAACATTCATGTCCTCCTGGAGCCCAGAGTTCTCAATGTAGAGGAAACAGATGCACACCAAGTGGAGTATAGTATGTGATGTTATTTGGAGACGTAGCAGCTGGGACCTCCTGGTTCTTTCTCTCCCTATGTGGTAGGGTATAGACTACATCTGATCATGATCAGGGCATCAGTTAATGCTTTTGTAGACTTTAGCCTATCATTGACTTTTGAGCTTTCCTCCATAGCTCATTCGGGTACACACAGAAAACCCTACTAGCTATATCTATCTGAGTACTCTCTTAGGTTCTGAGTACTCTCTTAGGTTCATATATTAGCTTGAGATTTGCTGGGCTCATGGTTCTCAGCAACCTGTCATTGGGGTCATTCTCACCTGACCCAACAGACCCAAGCACCAGTCACTTTTGGAGTTTTGCTAGTTTTCAACTGTAACATTCTAAGCACTTGGTGTAGAGATGGTCTGTCTGAGTCTTCTGCTGTAGCAGCATCTTTCTTGCCAGTGTAAGGGGTATGGTTTCAGGAGTGGACAGAATCAGAAAGAGGGAAGCATGAGGAGGGGCTTGCTCTCTTTTGCACTCTTGCTCAGTCGGGAGAGCCAGACACAGAAAGATGCTGCAACATTCTGCTTTTGTTAAGGTCTTTAAGTTAATTGCTCTGTGGTTACTCAGGCAGACCAGATCTGCCTTAGCTATCTATAGGTTAAGTGTTTTCATCTTCAAAGAAAGCCTTCCATGAACAAGCAGGACGGAAACCCTAACTATGTCTTTCAGAAGGGGGAGTAGCCTGCCAGTAGTAAGAACCAAAGGTCTGAGGTCACAGAGCACTGGGTTCAGATCCCATGTGCTTATTTGTGTGACCTTAGCCTCAGTTTTCTTCTCTATCCATGGGTACCTTTCTTTCCTGGCCATCTGATCTGAATGAACATCTTATATGAGGAGACTTTCCCTTTCCTCTCCCTGTTCTTCATCTCCCTCCTTCCCCCATCACTTCCTCCATTTCCTTCCTCCTCCTGGTCTTCACAGCCATATTTTATGAAAAAAAAATAATAATCCACCCCATGACAGTTGTACTATCTTCACCAAGGCTTGCATTCTTCCCTTTGTGACCTGTTCATTTTTGTAAAATAAAAAATTTTAAAGTGGAGGGAGCTGGGGAAATGACCTCCATGGGTCAGAAAGCTTGCTGTGCAAGTATGAAGATCTGAGTTCAAATCCCAGCACCCATATCAGAAGACAAGCTGGGGGTCATGGTGGAGACAGGCTGGACCTTCCTAGCCCACCAGCCTAGACAGCATAGTGAGCTTCTGGTTTGGTGAGGGACCTGTCTCAAGGCAATAAGGCAGATAAGAGTACCATCCTCTGGCCTCAATGTGCATGTGCACATGCCCCATACAAACATACACACCACAGACATTAAAGTAAGAAGCAGCTATCCCCTCAGATATAGGAGTCTTCGCTCTGTGTGGGGCTTTGGGAGGAGCATGCCTCACGCCTGAGACACTGGTGTCCCAGTGTCCCACTTCTTTCCACCTAGCAACCTAGCACTGGCCACTGTGAGGTCAACAGAAAGCCAGATTGGCAAGAACCAGGTGTTTTCACTAGACAACAAGTTTTAGTGAGGATTTGCTCTGAGGAAGAGTTATGGAAATGTGTTTCTTTTTAAAAGTTGGGTACAGTTGCAGCTCTTGGTACACATTAACTGACTGGACTGAATGTCATGGGCTAAGTGCTTTGAGGACATCTATATTTGCAAAATGAACACCATGGCACTGGAATTATTAAGGCCCAGTATTAACAGAGCTGTTACAGCAAACTAGTGGAACCCCAGGACTGATGTTCAAAATACCTATCTACAACAATAGACATGCAAAAGCATGGCCACTAACCACAGTAGTTACAGAACATTGAACTGTAACTCAGGTAATCTATGAATTGTCTTCATTTAACCAGATTTCAGCTAAATTTTAAAATAAATCTACATAAAGTGTGTGGCTACTGTCTCAGGAGCACAGCTTTAGGAGATGGCTCCTTTAATGCCTGTGCTGAGGTATCGTGGAGTTTATTGTGACCCTTGGCAGGACAGGGGTAGTGTCCCTAAGGCCAAGAGCTTCGCAGAGAGCAAGAGTACAAACAGACAGGAAGCATCCCTCTGACCCCTTGGATGAATGAAGCCAAGATTTCCCATTCATCTAAGTATCCATGCCTGCTTTAATCCCAGCACAATGGAAGCAGAGGCAGGCAGAGCTCTGTGAGTCCCAGGTCAGCCTGGTCTATAAAGCAAGGGCAGCCAGGGCTACCCAAAGAAAACCTGTCTCAAAACAAACAAACAAACAAACAAGAAAACAGAAAAATAAACAAAACAAAAAAGAGCTCTGGCTGTACTCTCATGTCTTGTTCGCTCCCCAGTGCTGACCAGCTGTCCTTTCATGTCTGACAAAACCACCCTGTGCCTAAGCCAATGTCCCAGCACACACCAGCCTGGTGATGGCCTGGAGCTAAGCGGAATTTAGCTCAGGGTAAAGATATGGTACAAATTAAACGTTGCCGTCGGTATGTAAAGCTGCAATAAATAGAAACTGAGTTACATCAAGGACGGAATTAAGCCTTAAGTTTAAACTCCACAGCACTGTAATTAAATCTTCGCCTGTAGCAAGCCATTCAGGGGAGATTAAAGGAGCCTGGGGGAAGCAGGGGTTTGTTTGCCTTACCTTGCTCCCCACAATTTATAAGTCTGAGCTACCAAAAGCTAGCAGCCCTACCCCCACATCCAGTTCCCAATTAAAAACACAGTTTGAAAACCTTTAGGAGGCCTGAGGGGCCCCTTTAACAGAAGGCTGCCCCTTCCCCCATGCCTCAGTTCATGAACAAATTAAAAAGAATTACCTGGTCCCCTGATGCCCCCCCCAACTGACACGGTGTTTTCATTAATACATCATTAGAGTAATGACATTGTGCTGGCATTTGGATTTCCAAATGGCCAGCACTGTGGCCACAACAAATAAAAGACTGCAGCTCTGTGAACACTTTCTTCCTGGAAAACAGTCAGATATTCTAAAGGGGAAACAAAAGACAAACCTCAATTCTTCACTTTCTGTGTATATCCATTTTATCCCTATCCCTATCCCAATCCCAGTCTTCCAAGGTCAGTTCCCTTGTTTGTTTCCTTGTCTCAACTTCCTTAGTTTTGCAGTCAACCCTGGGGTTAGTTTAACCATGACCCTAACTGCCAGAGCCAGCAAATATTTTCAATTCTCTGCTTTCAACTCCCCTCCCTTCCCCTCACAAAAAAAGGGGGGATTTCTCTGAGTATGGAAATACATCATTCTGTGTAAAAGCTGTCTGAGGCCCGAAGGTGAAGTGTGTGTTCTGATTTTCTAGACTGTGAACTGTTATCTCATAGACAATAATGGATTCATACTGGTGTCTGAAGACTACACACAGGTGAGTGAGGAAACCCTCTCAACTTGAAAGGGGATCAGTTGGCTCTTGGTCTGGGCTGGGGACAAACTACGGAGTTAACACTTGGAAATGATGGTCTATATATCTAAGAGGCAATAGTAGATTATAAAGCTCATTTCTCTCAGAATGTCACAGCCTACCTCTGGGCAGCCCTCAGATCACTTTTACCTCCTAATGTGAGGCTGGTACAGAGGCAGAGCCCAGGGTCTGCTCCCCGTACACACTCACAAATGTTAAACTTACAGAATTCTTTGCCTCAGAGTTGTGTGAACTACAAAAGAAAATTTGCCTGGGGGTTGAGGTGACAGCTCACTGAATAAAGCACTTGCTTGAGTTCAAATCCCCAGAACCCATGTAGAGCGGGATGCCATGGTGTGTATCTGAAGTCCTCCTTTGGTAAGATGGGTGGCTTGACAGGAAGTTTATGCCTGTGACTAACAAAGAATGACAGTCTGGACAAGATAAAAGGCAGCCACTAGATTTCCTGTTTTCAATATCTGTGCTGTGCTACATGCAAACAAACATATACACATATATGTATATTTATTTATTCATTTATAAACAAGCGCCTGCATGTGTTCATGTACACATATGCATACAACACTCACACATGTATGTGTACACACACATAAGCACACAAGTACAAGGATGCACATACACATACACAAATCACACATACATATATATATACACACATGCACACACACACATGCATGTATACACACACACCATAGATTTTTTTTGTGACTATATTTTTTTTTATTTTATATAACCAAGTCCATTTAAATGAGAACAAACATTTATAGACAATATTTGGGAATTTGGGCGTTGTTCTTTCCAAACTACTTTCTGCTGGTAAGGGATGATGTCATGGGGGATTCGAAGAAGATTCAGAAATCCTTGGCGGTAGTCTGTCAGGCTGCTTTGTCCAACTGTTTTGAATGTAGGATCACATTTTAAAACACATTTTAGCCTAAAGGGTTTAGATGCTTTAAAGAGTTTGAGCAACAACTTTAAGGAGTTTTTTTGTTTGTTTGTTTTTCTCCTTCTGATATTTATCCTTCATTCACACACCCATACACACATGAACTTTCTTTAAACTCAACTGAAATGACTCAGGAGTCAACAGTTTGATAGGTCGATTCACACTCAATAAATTAGTTCATTGTTTTTCAACATTGCTCTGTAAGATCTGAGCATAGAGATTTGTTCACATAAAATGGTGTCTTCAGAAAATGAGGAATTTGATTCCATTTGGCTCTTCTCTCTGAGAGTAGCTAAATGTTCCTAGACTCCTGATGCCTACAGTCTCAGTGGTGAGTACCATGGGGGTTGGGCTACTAGTGGACATTAGGTAGAATTAATGAATCTATGAAACAAGGCCAGGCTCTGAGACAGCTGCAAAGGCCATCAGCTTACAGTAACAGGCCTATTTGACTCAAAGGATCATGGACATACCAAAGAACCTTTGGGGTAAGAACCCAGAATCCTTGGTTAAGAGAAGGAGTTTCATCATAATCCCACAGCCATCCACACAGGGCTGAGATAAGACTCTGTTCCAGGCTCAAGAAGGATGGAGTGCCTTCTTCCCACAGTAAACACTGGCCTGGCCAGAAAATCATGGCTCCTGCAGGAAACCTTTCTCCCTCCCTGAAATAGGGACTGGCCAGCCTGGTGAGTTCAGGCTTATTTGATGTTGCCTGGCTTCCTGAACCCCAGTTAGGATAACTCTTTTTCATGTGGCATGCAGTTCCATTAACACGGGTATATATGCATACATAAAATACACATGGCCTTCTCACTCACAGCAGCAACACATTCCCATAGAGCATGCTGGCATTTCCAAGTTCTCCAGAGTGGAAACCCAAGTGCCCAAGTGCTTGATATGAGCACTTTTTTTCTCAAGTGTGGAAACTCATACACGGAAGTACACATGACCACACACACACACACACACACACACACACACACACCGTCTCTAAACTCCGGAAAATATGGTCAAGGTCACTAAGCTAAGTACAAAGGAATTGGGGTTTGGTTAATGCCACCTTTCTCCCCTTACAAGCTATATACCCAGAATAGAGATAGGGGTCTCAAGCACACTACACCGTACATTGCAGGATGCTAGCAGAAGGGTGCTGCTGCATGCCTTGCTTCTTCACGGTTTTTCTCCTCATGATCCCAGAGGCTGGAGAGCATGCAGGATGTTGTTAATCATTCATTCTGCCATGCAGTTTGTAAATCTCATCACAGCAAGAATTAGACATTCCAAAGCTTTACTTAGCAATGGCCTGAAGATAGCACCAGGTACAGGGATAGGCTGTTAGAGTTATGATTAGATATGTTGTCTCCCCAAGGAGCTGAGCAGTCTTATTCCAGTAACCAGATTAACGACCTATAGACAAAACGAGAACATTCTTCAGAAAGTTATTTTGAGAAAGGATGGATTGTGAGAATTGTATAGGGCTTAGGAAGTGGACTCTTGTACGTTCCTAAGCAGATCATCCCTGGCATTATAAACCATTATTTTTATAAGAGCTCAGGAAGTACTTCCAGGTTCTCATTTGTCTGTAGGAAGTAGCATTTTCATCAGAAGGGATTATGTCTGGATTAATGTCTATCCTGTCCAAGTGTGTGTGTGTGTGTGTGTGTGTGTGTGTGTGTGTGTGTGTGTATGCGTGCGCATGCACTCATGAGCGGGCACACAGGCACTATTGTATACACACATGTGTTCTAATTTCTGCACTGAGCACATGTTATGCAACATCCCCCTATGTATTGTGGAGACTTCCCATCTGCTCACTGGTTTTGTTAACACACAACTACTAGGAGTATTACAGTCATTCTTATTTTTCTGTAACAGAAGTCCTAAAAACCTGCCTCTGGTTTTTCTCAGCCCCCCTTCCCCCCCACTCTACCCCCACACATGCTCGTGAGTGACAGAGAGAAAGAGAGAGAACAGTCTGCCTGCCTTTCTACTCTAATATTTCTACTCTGATATGTTATATTTCTACCCTTCCTCATATGCATTCCTGTCTTCCTACAGACTGGAGATTTCTTTGGTGAGGTAGAGGGAGCTGTAATGAACAAGTTGTTAACAATGGGCTCCTTTAAAAGGTAAGAACTGGATGATGCTCTTGCTTTACATGAGTAAAATAAACAAAGGTCAAATAAAGCAGCCCAGGATTGACCCTAGAGCTGATCCCACTCTGCACTGAGATTTCACACCTTGCACACATGCTGGTCTTTCAGGTTCAGCTTATCACAAGTTTTCTGTCTGTTCATCATGGAATTCATCAGAGGACCATGCTGAAATGAGAGTCAACGCAGCCAGTTGATTCTGTCACAGGGAGAAAAGTTCCTGCCTGAGCAGAAAGCAGGGACGGATTTGTCTCACAAGCCAGAGCCACTAGAAGTTGAGGGTTTGGGAATGGAAGGTGATATTTTTGAGATTTCCTGATACAATTTTAGAAAATCAAAGAAAGCTTTCTCAGCTTTCTTCTGACCATGGTCCACTGAAGTCCACTGGTGAAGACATGGATGTCGGTGAATTTCATAGGGGTCGGGTCCTGTTAACCAGCTTCCCCTTGGCCCCTTCCTTGCTCCTCATGGCTATAGCATGGGCCTGTGAGGGAACTCTCGTAGAGTTAATAAGGGCCTTTGAAGTCGAGCTTTCTTGGGTACTTTTGAGGCTCTTAAGTATGTGATAGCAGGAAGTACAAGGGTGACCCTGTGGCACTCTTGCCAGATCCCTGGCACCTCCATGCCAGGCCCCCCTCTTGCCATTTCCTGTAGCTGAGTGGTGAGGAAGTGCTAGCTTGGGAAATCAGACTTGGAAGCCAGTCAACAAGACAACTGAGCACTGTGCTAAGAGCAGGGAATTAATAAAAGGATGAACTGCATTTGAAATTCCATAGCTTATTTGTGCCAGAAAGAGATGTGGGAGGAAGGGATGCTACAAAAAAGTTTCCAGAGGCCAGCATTTCTGTCATCTCTAACCCTCACCTGACTTGAGGTCTGACTAAAGCAGGTATGATGTACTCCTGCCTAATTCCAGCTCAACAAGTCAAGGATGTTTGTTTTTGACAGGAGTCCTTCTCACCTGGGCCTGGCTTTGAGCTATTTTATAATTTTCTGTGACTTCTGTGAGTTTTCTAAAACAACTCCCTCCTGGATGATCAGCCATTGGGGCACAGCTTCTTCTGCCTACATCTCTATCACTGTGTGCATTTGTATAATGGCAGCTTGATTTTCAGCTCTTGGGGGGCATGAGAAACAAGATGAAGAATAATGGTACATGTGTTTCTCATTTAAAAGTATATTTTTCAACTTCTTTAACAACTGCCCCCCTTTCTTGGATATTTGTTTTAAATCGGTGGGAGAAAGAGAAAAGTTATAATGGATTTTTAAGGGTTTGGTCTTCTCCTTGTTGTGGGTTAATTATGGTTGGCATGAACCTACAACTTACTTTTATTGTCACACTAGCCAACATCTTTGAGAAAAAGGAAGGGCTACAAGCTTGCCTGATTTAGGATAGCAACTGCTGCTCTCTAGGAGCTACATGACAAGCCCCAAGTCCCACGTGCCTCTTCAGAGGGCCCCCTTCCCTGGGGCCAGGTGAACAATGAGGAGATGGGTTTGGGGTCACACAGACTAAGGTCAAAGCCAGGCTCTAACATGTACTAGCTGTATGATATAGAATATGTCAACTCATTTGGTCAAATTTCAGTTCTTGGTATGGAACAGAAAGGTTATTAGTAATCCGTTCCAAGGGTAGATGCAGGTAGTGAGATGAAGTTCTCAGCCCATGCCTAGTATCTACAAAGGGATTAGTAATTGCTAGCTGCTGTTGTTGATCTTGACTCAGCCATGCTTTTGCAGACTGTGTGGCACCACTAGGTAGGAACCCATTTTTGGGAGGTTTCAGTCAGATCTAGCTGATTTCCAGGTTTGTACCTGAGAGGGGGAATGTGGATTTCAAAAACAGCAACTAAGGATAGTAAGGAAAAGATACAGACACAGAATAGAGTCTGGAAGGAAATCCACACAGTTTATTCTGTTTATTCTTCAACATTCTAATATACCAAAACCAAAGAGGAAGGAAAGGCAAGAGACTTCTTCATCAAGATACAAGGAACAAATAGACTTACTTCCTTAATTTTTCAAATATTCTAGCCGAAATCTCTCATTATCTGGCCTTCAGGGTTAAGAGTAACCACACCTTAAATCAAGTCTCATGTTATTTAGATAAGACATCCATGACAAAGACCAAACATCCTACAGAAGCCACTCCTTAGACCTTTAGGACTTATGACTTTAACCTTGGAAGAGTAAGGACTTTAAGCCAAGATGATGCAAAGCCATTTTTATGGACCCCAACAAAGCTGAATCATACCTACAGAGAGGCATACTGGCTTTGGAGGTATGGTCTACTCCGGTAGGACCTAAGTCAGTGCACCGAGCTCAGTTTTTTTCAGTATCATGGATGTTGCTGCTGGCACAAGGATTCTTCTTTTGATCAGCCTCTCTGATTTAATGAGTATCATTCACAAGAGATAAGGTCGTCTCCAGAAGATGGATGGAAGACAAACACCTCCCATCCCTCCATCTTTGGCTGTTTCCCTGGTTGGACTTTAAGCCCCTCCATCTGGGGAGCAATGCTCGCTATAAATGTTTAGATTCAACTTTAACATATGAAGTAACACCTAGGAAAGTGCTGGAGACCTGCTAGGGTGTCTGTGAGGGGGTTTCCAGAGGTATTATTGAGGGGCCTGCTCTAGCTGGTGGGTTCATCACTTGATGGATCCCTAACAGGCACCATAATTAACAGCTGCTCACAAGCAGAAGGATGGAGTAAGTAGGTCTCTTAGAGGTACATCTTTCCCTGTTCCCTTCCTGTATTCCTTTACTGTGCTTCATGGCTCTCCTAGTGTAAACTGCTCTCCCCCGCCATGTTGGACTGGACTTTCTGAAGCCATGAGCCATAACAAGCCCTTCAGCCATTAACTTACTCTTCTCAGTATTTGGTTACAGCAATGCAAAATCTGACAATATACTGCAGTGGCCCTTTGCTATCATTGTTCTGCCTTCTCACCTGGTGGCCCAATGGTAATGTACACAGCAGTGCCATCAGAAGGAAATAACATTCAAGTTGGGGTCTGTGATTTCTTGGGCCTTTGATTTCTGTGAACAACTAAATTGCTTACAAGATGTTCGATACAGTTCCACAGCAGCCCTTGAAACCCTTTAAGGGCAAAACTCCTTGCTGTTGGTCACTTTAGCTAAGTCTTTGGCATCAATCTGTCCCACCAGCTCCTCTGTGACCTAGGGGCCCAGAGGCAAGAACAGATGCATGAGCAGTGTTGGGGAAAGGAGAGAAAAAGAAAATGGCAATCTTTGCATCTTCCACATTTCTGTCACAGCTGAGCTAGGTTGCACCACCAACTTCCTCCTGTTTTGCTTTTTCTTTCTTTCTTTGTTTCTTTCTTTGTTTCTTTCTTTCTTTCCATCCACCCATCTGTACATACATACATCTGTCCATTCTTCCTCCTTTCTTCTCATCCTCATTTACTCTCCTCTTCCTTCCTCCTTCCTCCTTCCTCCCTTCTTCTCTTTCCATTCTGTCATTTTATACTATAGCCCAGGCTGGCCTTGAAGTCCCAGCCTCCAACGTGTTGAGATAACAGGTATGTACCACTCTGGCCCACACATATCACTGTTCTTTAAACCTTCCAGCAACTTCATGAAACAGTAAAAGCTAGTAGCAGGGCCAAGAGCAAACTAGAGATATAGGACCTTTGTTTGAGGCTTGATAGACACTTGTCAGCAGTGTGTTTAAGCAATGTGAGCCGTCATAAGTGTAGGGCTGTTCAGTGATTCAGTCTACAGGCCCATGGGGACAGCCTTGGGGATAAATATGCCTCAGACTTAATCTATGTATGGAGATGATAAGTCTTGGAAAGACCAAGAACTCTGCCTAATTCTCTATGGCAGAGCTGGTTTCCAGTGTTCTGTAGTGTGGACAAAGCAAGACTTCTCCACTCTCTGCCCTCTACCTCAGCTTCTGGGGATGAGCAGAGGTGAAAGAAGCTGTTGGCTCAGCGGTGTCTTATCTGGAGAGCAGAAGTTGTAGGCTGGGAGACCAGGTGAGTGATGAGATCACTCAGTTGAAATTCACAAATCCTCAGACCCACCATGCCCGTAGGCTGTACTTACTTTTTTTCTTCTTATCTGTCATTCTGTGCCAGGTCAGCTTTTTTGTTCCAGAGAACTTCAAATACTTCTTTGTTCTTATCATAGAGAGTATGTGGGCTCACTGACTGGTGACTCACTGGGGGTTTCTTGCCTTGGCTGTTTTCTTTTCTACCCATGCTCTTGTCTAGTAAAAGCCATGAACCTGCATTTCTCAGAATGCATACTTGTATCTGTCTGTTGTCAGCCATGACCTTGTCCCTTTTGCAAATACACTAGAATTTATGGGTCTCCTCCCCCCTCCTACTTCCAGGGGTCCTAAAGAAAATTATCAAATATCTGCGGAGAAATTAATACTAGTCAGTCGTAGGAAAAGGTTGAAAATTCTTTTTATGTTTGTCCTCCCCTTAGTGCTGGGATTATACAGGCAGGAGGTCCCATGCCTGGCAGGTTCCAAGTTCTTAATGGTACCTCTGCGATGCTCCGGTATTAAAGGAAGACTTCATGTTGAGCAATTGATTTGCAACCATGTGGCTAGGCACAGGTCTCTCAGTCTCTGAAGCAAACTTGCTTTGTCAACAGGAATGTTAGTTGGAGCATTGCAGAGCTATTGCCTAAGAAGGGAACATCAGCCCTTCAGCAAGGGATCAAACCACCGGTTTCTCGTTGGTCACTTAACAAGAAATCAGTGACCCCGCTGTACAAATGAAGGCTGATCAAGGGGTCTGGGCTCTTGTACTTCAGTGTCTCATAGGAGTGAAACAAATCTAAAATATACCTATGCTCAGGGTGCATCCTGGGAGATCCATCTTATATTGGTGTGGGGAAGGAGCCCCAGTATGTGTGTATAGTAAATGCCTCCATGTGTTCCTCATGTGCAACCAAGGTCAAAGCCAGTGTCAAAAAACTTATTTGTGCACCAGTCC